CAACGCAGATAGATGCTTGAAGATCATGGCATTCCTCTCTCTCCCCCCCCTTCTGTCTCTCCCTCCCTCTCTCTCTCCCCCCCTCTCTCTCTCTCTCCCACACACACTGGATGGTGGCTAACAGACGGGACCCCACCCCAACCGGTCGATACAGCCACACCCATGTCATGGTCTACGAGAGATCTGGCACTAAGATTCCTTGGTATCATGCTAAACAAGGACGGAGTGTGGCCACGCATGAGCCAAAACCTAGTCGCCAGGGCAATCACTCGCATGGCCCTGTGCAAAAATGCCCAGGCCGCGTTAATTGGAAGAGCACTACTAATTTTAACACGACAATCTTCTTCACACTGTGGTACATGGCATCCACCTCGTTCCCCCCCGACGGTGACCTCAAAATGTTAAAAAACAGGGTCGGATGCTACTTATGGACCGGAGACCCCAACAGGACCACGTGTATCAACAGGGTAGCCTGGAACCACATCATCAGGAAACCACAGGAGGGGGGGCTGGGGCTTATAGATCCCAATCAGGAATCCATAGCACCGGAGATGAAAAGGATTATCAAGATCCTAATAAGACAATTCATTCCATGGACCCAAATGACTCTGGACAACATCAGAAACCTAGCACCTATCAACTCCCCTCTGAACATGAGAGGTCTCTTCTGGATAATGGCGACGGACTGGACAATCAAATCAGGCAGACAGTGCAGAAGAAACCCAACAGATCGTATTACAAGCCCTACTCCAACAACAAATCCATACTGGAAGCCAACCCTCAAAGCCTGGCGAAGAATGATGCTGAGCAAACACGGTGCACCAGGAAACAGAGAAGAGGTCCTGAGACAACCTCTGTGCTGCAATTCCTGGATCGTAGACCCGAGTGGCCCACCCTGGACACTGCGCACAAAAGACAGGAGATGGCTGTCCTGGGTGGAAAAAGGGGTGTGGCAGGTGAAACACATTTGGGCAGAAGATTGAAGACAATGGTTAACCGAACAGGAGCTCCGAAATGAATTAAAAGGCTGCCACGCCCTCACAGAAAATCTAACACAGATTCAGAAGAGCATCCCAACACAGTGGCTCTCCCTCGTAAGTACGTAATAACCGAGGAACTGCAGGGTGATGAAAAGGACTGAATGGACAATACAGTGCGAGTAGAATCTCGACAGACAATGTGCATTCTCATACATACAAAAGGTGCTGAATAGCGCAGGGAAGACTTTGATACAAAGACTGATCTGACAGGACTGACCTCTTTCACGTAGTTCAGAGTAACGAAGTAGAACGCTAGAGTACTACTAACTAGCCCAATCAATGTTTGAACTCAGACTTAAACATGCATGGTATCCATCACAAGTGTGAAGGAGCCTGGCGCTGCACACAAGAAGAAAGCGCCAGGTTCAGACATACACAGACGAAGAGATAAGGATCAGACGAAAGGAGGGAGGACGATGGGAATGTCGTTAACACCAAGTCTTGGTCACCAATCCCAAATAGTCCCTCGTTGACATGTCTGAACCCCCGAAAGTCGAGTCTGGATCAAATGTCACCAAGCTCCGTATCTCTTCTCTCATAGTCTGCAGATGCAGTGAAGTCAGAAGTGAGAGGGAGAGAAGAGATGGTGGACTGAGAAGAAGAAGAAGAAGAAGAAGAACTCTCTCTCTCTCTCTGTTACGAACCAGATACTAACCTGTGGTGTTGGCGCTGTGCTGCAGGTACCTTGAAGACGAAGCTGGAGCAACGGCGCTGCAGGTAGGTATCTCTGGCCTCCGCCCAAGCTCTCTCTCTCTCTCTCTCTCTAGTACCACCTAGCTATGGCGCCCAGCGCTGGAGACTACAGCTACCTACTGCGCCCAGCGCTGAAGACTACTAGCTAACGCTACAACTACTACTACGCAGCGCTCTCTCCAGAGTGCTGCTCCCGAATCCTGAAGACTACAACTGACCGACTGCCTGCCTCGGAAGTGCCTGGGAAGTCCTATGTACTACCTCGGCCTGCCTCCTGACTCTTGGAGGCCAGTCAGGCCAAGGAGGCAGCTCTTGCCAATGCCGAAGTGTGCCAGGGGCTGGCGTGCAGCAGCCTGCTTGAGGCTGGCATGGGAAACAGACTAATAATAGTCTGTTTCCGAAACCCTGGTTCGGTGCCTGAGTTTCAGGGCCGGTCGTTCTGATGAACGACCGAAAATGGCCCTTCGTTTCAGGCTAAAAAGGCTGTTGCCATTTTTAGTCTGAAACGACCAGGGATAGGCCCTGGACTTCAGGCTTTCGGGCTGAGCCGACAGGGGGCCTGTAAGCCCTGGATTTCAGGCTTTCGGCCTGAACTTCAGGCTTTCGGCCTGAAGTTCAGGCTTTTGGCCTGAACACTGTCGGGCCTGCAAAATGGTCGTTGGGACTGCAAAATGGCCCGTGTGTGCACGCGCTGCATGTAACAGGAGGACTTCTCGTGGAAATCCGGGGACTGGGGCGTACTCATTTCCCAAACCCAGCCTCGCAGAGCTTACCGTTTTGTTTCTCGAACCAATGCACCCAGCTACCTGTCCAAATTCTTCTCCTACCCGATCACTAATCACAACCTACAAGAGCTGGAAGTTATGAACAAAGAACCCCAGTGTGACATGCTAGAATCCTTCCGACTGAGGAAAGTGAGGGTCACAAAAGCCAAACCCTGGATAATCTTCCAACCTGATCTCTGCATCGCAGACCTCGAATTCTACCCGAAAGAGTGGATCTGGAAGCAGGGGAAATCCGGGAGAACAAGAACAATATTAGAATACGATGTAAAGTTTGGTTATGACTTAGGATTACAAACTACTGACCCGGATCCCGGAATCAAAGAAACATGGAGGGAGATTCTGAACCAGAACCTACTGACCCCGTTTCCATCCCCTGGACGAAGTACCTGTCCATCAGACCGGTTAGGATCCGAAGTATGCAGTGGCTCGAAGCCCAAACATCCCTGCCCGTCAACCAATGGCTCCACAAGAGGAGGAACCATACGGATCCCGACAGCTCCGAATTATGTGTTATGTGCACAGACAACAGACCAGAAGACATACCCCACGGCCTCTTGTACTGCACTGAAGCAGCCTGGATATGGAACAAAGCTCGCGACCTATGGTCCCTCCTCCTCTCATCACCCCCTCCCCCCACCTCTCCTCAAAAATCCTCCTCCTGTCCAACAGTACTAACAATCTCAAAGGCGGCAAGGAAATCTGGTTTCACCTTCTCAGGAAGCTGGCGCTGTGGGTGATCTGTAAAAGGAGGTGTACCAAGACTATCGAGAGAACTGAGGTGGCAAGGGAAGAAATGTGGGCCCTACTGTTGAGTATGACGGAAACTGAGATTCGGTGCAGATGGAGGGAGGGAACATCAACAACGAAAGTCAGACTAGAAAGGCTAGCCACCAAGAGACATTCTTTCATGAAGGACTGGCTCCTACAGGGAAAGATCGCAACAGTGGCAGATAATAGATTGATCTGGAAAAAAATGGCACAGCGAAACTCCAGCAAGGACGACGACCCAGCGATTGACAAACTGAGACCATAGTCTCAACAATACAGACAACTCTCCTCTTTTCTTGTTGCACACGAACTATATGACGGAATCAAAATGGATTCTGAGAGGAAAAGCGGTAGGGCAAGCTGACAGTCAATCCTCCTACATAGGAGCAATCAATGCTGGTCAGGGTTCCTTCGGCCAGACGGAAGGAAGTGGTGAGAGTGTTCACCATGTGTTCCAATTCTCGACTTGCCGGTCGACAGGAACCGGATTGATGCTCCCCAGAATGGATACCATAAGGACCTGTTTTTATTATAAAAAAAAAAAAGCAGTTTTGGGCGTGGTAATACGGTGGTATCTTTTTTAAAGTTTTTTTTTTTTTTTTTTTTTGGGTATCTTCGCGAGGAGGCTCAGAGAGTGTCTGCTGTGGGTGTCATTCCTACAGGCTGCTCTTTGGGAGCACATGGAAGAAATGGGGGCTTCTAGGATGTTTTAAGCAGTAGCGCTCCTGGTGTCGTGTGGAGATCTCGTGGAGTTTGAGATTATGGCAATGTATACACTCCAGGGTTTAGACAGCGAAGTGAAAAGGGGGGTTGTCTAGCCACAGAGTCATCGAGATGATGGTGACATGAGTGGGTCGTTTGGGATGAATAGCAGTGTCAGTGCTGTTGTACTTGTGCAATTAATCTTGCGGCTTTGTGGACCAACTCAGAGTGCTTTCCAAGTTTTTTTAGACCATTGGCGGATGTGGCCAGTGCTTTCTTGTTGGTGGAGCCTTCTGTGTTGAGTATGTTGCCTTTTGCCCTCCATCCTTTTATGGACTAGTGCAAGTGTTATGCAAGTGTGCCGCTTCGATGGCAGACGGGTGTATGGGCACTTGGCAGTTAACCACACAAGCGTGACCAGCCTTGCATCTTCTACTATATTGCCTATCTATACCTTTTTTTGTATCATCGATGGTTTGTGATGGTTTGTGGATGGAATAGGAACGAGAGTTTCGGGTTTTATAAACACACACGCACATGCACACGCATGCCTTTGTGGCCAGGTTCATGCTCTAAGATGTACCCAGTTATCATTAAGCTCTTATATGCTTAGGAAGGGAGGAGATAACCTCTCATGACTTTTTTTTTTTTTTATCCCTGTCAAGTTGTCATTGTGCCCCACTTTTTTTTTTTTCCCCCTTCCAATAAAATATAATCACATTACAAGTTTTGTTGTACCCAGGATGAAGGCCAAAAAAAAAACTTTTCTGTAACGCAATATCCCTGCAGTCCTTTTTTTGGCTGTGAAAAAGGAGTTGGTGTTGTGCCTGGGCATCGATGGGGACCACAAATTGTAATCGTAGTTACACCTTTTTTGCTCGTTTTTGTCGTTATACGTTAGTACCGTTTCTGGATGACTGATTCCTTCTTCTTGCCTCCTGGCTGTTCTACAATGTGGATGGATTATACTACTTCGATGCTTCATTTTCTTCGTTCTCATTAAATAAACAAGAACATAAACTTGATTGGCTGGTTGGAAGAGCGCAATGGAGTCCCGGGAGGAGAATGTGTACTTGGCAAAGCTTGCCGAGCAAGCAGAGAGATATGAGGAGATGGTGGAGCGCATGGATAAGGTCGCAAGAACTGCGGACAAAGAAGAATTGACCATCGAGGAAAGGAACCTGCTGTCGGTAGCATACAAGAATGTGATTGGTGCTCGGCGGGCATCATGGAGAATCATATCGTCTATTGAACAGAAAGAGGAGAGCAAAGGCAACACGGACCATGTGAATATCATAAAGGAGTACCGTGCCAAGGTGGAATCAGAACTGAGCAATATATGTGACAGCATCTTAAAGCTCCTTGATACATATTTGATCCCTTCAGCATCCAGTGGCGAGTCCAAGGTGTTTTATCTGAAAATGAAGGGGGATTACCATAGGTACCTGGCAGAGTTCAAAGTCGACAATGATAGGAAAGAAGCGGCAGAAGCTACTCTTGTTGCATACAAAACGGCCCAAGTAAGTTCACCTCTTTCGTTCAAAGTCACTATCCGTAATCATTCTATATGACTATCAGCCCAAGCAAGTTCACCTCTTTCACTCAGTCACTATCCATAATCGCTCTGCATCTGCTGCTTATCAGGAGCTACATAGTGCAGCATGCACGCTATGAGGCAGGTACCCCAGCCTTGAACTCTACAGTCTAGCGGCTGCTGTACTTCACATGAGTTGGAATCATAACAGCCCAAGTGGCAGCGCAGGAGCATGATGCTGTTTCCTTGCCTGCTCCTGGAGTCTAAGGATTGCAGTGGCAAGATTAAATCACACCAGGATGATTAGGAAAGTGATGGGCTGTCATCAAACTGGAAGGATGATGCAGGGTTTGGAATTATGGAACATGTTGATGACCTCCCTTGAAAATGATGACATATCAAAAGTTGCACTATCTCAGATAGTGTGCATCCTGAACACAATATAACAATAGCAATACCTCGCTTGAAAATGGAATAGGCAGTTTACTGCGGCAAAGGAAATGGATGCACGGAATAGAAACGTTTATCCACTTGATGCCGTGGCATGTTCACCTGCTATGAGGAGTAGCGAATCAAAAGGAAGTGAGAGCAGATTCTGAAGCCTGAAGGGAATCAATGTTTGAACTTTGAACTTTGAATTGTTTCAAAAAAATTGGACCATTTCTCGATTTATGTGTGCCATCCTTGCGCCAGGGCCATGCTAATCGTCTATGTATCGCGCCAATTTTAACGGATGTCCAGCCGGCAAACCTACTGTTTTTTATGGTTTTTGAACCGTTTTTCTTCTTTCTGTTTTTTTTTAACTTTTTTTTTTTTTTTTAAACAGAACCTTAGTGTTCTGGCTCCTTTTCCATTCTGGGGAGCATCAGTCCGGTTCCTATTCCACCGGTAAGTCAGAAATAGGTTACAAGGAGAACTTACTCACGCTCCTCCCCCTTATGGTGTGGAGGCCCAAAGGACAGCATTGATTACCTCCCGGAGGAGGGATGTACCACCCTTCACCCCTGCCTAAGTTAGCCTGTTCTAATGCGGCTTCAGCTCTAAGGCTAGCAGTCTGGTTGCAGTCTTGTCTATTTGGACCTTGTCCAAGCTGCTCCTCTCAGCTTCTAGGCTGTCGGATTTTCCTTAGTTGCTAGAGCTGTTGTTCGGGTCTTTTGCCCAGATTCTATGCACTTCTACGTCTTGTCATAATGGAGATGTGTCTTTGGTGGAACCCTCGGGTTTATCTTTCCTTCCTCTCCTTTCCTATGCGTGCTCTTATCTGTCCTTTCCAATATTGAACTGTTTAACACCATTCTAGCTATTACTGTGGGTCTTGGCTGTCCTGGATCTATGTTAATCCTGTGTCTTATGTCTTAGTTGGGGTGTAGTGTCTCTAACCGCTGAGGGTTCTCGTGTTGACTTGATCCAGGGTCTGGCGGGTAGTATCTGTTACAGGCTTTCAAAGTCTATTCTGAGTGCATGTTGAAAGACTATGTTTGAGCCCCGAATGAGTGCAATTTTGCGAGTGGTCTTCCAGGGATTCGGGGATACTGTGTAATGAGTGGTCTTGCGAGTGTTGATTTGGTGGGGTTTCCTCCCATAGTCGAAAGACTATGTTTGAGCCCCGAATGAGTGCAATTTTGCCCTTGGCTAGGAAGTTCTCTTCGAAGTTCTGTTGGTGTTCCTTGGCTTCGTCCTCGTCTTCCTTCATCTTCTTTCTTACTTTGCGCCATAGGACCCAGTATTCGGTTTCTACTTGTTGTTGGAGTAATCCCCATGCTTCTTTGGTGTGCATTTTTTGTTTTTCTATAGTTTCTTGACATCTTTTCCTCCATATAGCCCATAGTGCGGCTTTTCTAAGAATTCTGAAGAGGGTGGATTCTAATGGGCTCCAGTCTTCGGGGTCATTAAAGCCTAGGAGTAGGAGTGTGCTGTTGTTTGTGAAGGTTGTGCCTATTACTGCGTTCCATATACTTGCTGCTTTGTGCCATAGTGGTTTTATCCTAGGACATAGGAGAAAATAGTGGTATAGGTTTTCTATTTGGCCGTTGTTGCAGTTGGCGCACAATTCTTTCAGTGGGCTTCTGTCTTCCTTTTTTTTTCTTCTAACGTTTAACCATTGGTTCAAAGGGACTGCTAGGTAAATGATTAACCATTGTACGCTTCTGAGTTTGGGCGGGTGAGTCAAAGCTATTTTGTTCCATGGTATTGGGTCGAATGTTTCCATTTCTACCTCTAGGTGTCTTTTCCAGCGTTCTGCTATTATTGGGTCTGGGTTTGCAGAGCGACATCTCAGCCTATAGCCTAGACTAGTTGTGTATTGTAGTAAGTTGAATTTAGTGTTGCTTACTAAGGTTCCTTGCTTTAGATTCCATGCCCATTCTGCTGGGTCTACTTTTAGGTTCTCTAAAGTGGTTGGGGGAGGTAGATGGTTAGGACTTCGTTTTCTATTACTCTAATCTTTCTTGGATTGTTCTTGCGGACAAAGACTTGTGCTGTTGAGCATTTGCTGATTTTGTTGTGGTCCGAACCTGGCTCTTCTATTTCATGCATGGTAAATATGTACCAGTCTTGTTTGTTTTCTTCTCTGCCCCAAAATGCTAGTGTGTGTTTCTGTTGAGGCTCGTTTACTATTACGGCCCAGTCTCCTGTGGTCCACTGTCTATCTTTTTTCAGTGTTGGGATCCATTCTTGTGGGATGGCCGTTATGATTTTCTGTAGGTTCTGATTTAGCCTATGGCAGTGCTTGAGCTGTTGTCTGAGTTGTTTGTCTTGTTTCCATTCCTTTGTGTTGTCATCCCAGATGTGTTTAATCTGCCATATTCCCTTTTCTAGCCAGGCTCCCCACTTTGTGTCCTTTGAGGTCAGTGTGAAGGGGCTACCGTCTTCTTTTGTTATCCACTGGTTGCAGAAAAGGGGTTGTCGTAGTATGTCCTCTTTGTTGCTTGGTTTCCCGACCTTAGCTGGGAACATCTCTCTCCAATCTCGAAGGATCCCTTTTCAGAATTTCAACCTAGATTCGTTTCTTGGGTCCATTGTGGTCTGGTTTCCTCCTTGCATTGACCATGATTTGCTCATTATCCAGAAGGAGCCTTCCATGTTGTCTGGGGTGTTATATACTGGAAGGTGTTGGATCCCGTCTAGGGCTAAAGTTCTCCAAGGTAAGTCGGGCCTAGTGATGCGTTTAAGGATCCATTTGGTTTGTTGGGCTTTTATTTGGGTTGTGGGGTCTAGGACTCCCAGTCCTCCCTGCCCTTTTACCTAGTGATATATTGCCAAGCGACTTTGGTTATGAAATGTTGCCTGGATGCATCTCTTGTCCACAGATAGGGTGAGGCTTTCCTTTTTAGGTCTCTCAGCGTGGACTAGTCTGGATTCCAGAAGGCTGCTACATACCACATCATGGCAAAAATAGATGAGTTTAATATTAGTGCTCTTCAATATAATGAGGTGCGTATTTTACCCCAGGCGCTTAATTTACTTGTCATCTTGGCTAGGAGACTAGGAGTGATTTCTGTTTCTGCTCCGTGTTCTGTCATTTGGATCCCTAGAACTCTCAACGGGTCTTTAGGGTCTGACCAAATCATACCATCAGGAGTGTTTGGAGGGAGATCTATACTTTCATTCATTAACCACCATCCTACTGTTTTTTGCCAGTTGATTCACATTTCATAAGCTAGTTGGTATGCGTGCATTGCTCCGGTGAGCGCCTCAAAGGATGAGCTGGATGCTCTTATGAGTACAGTCAAGTCGTCCGCGAACATGATCGTGTTTGTTGGGGTCTTCCAACAGGCTTATGAGTCTTTGTATGGACGGGTCGTTCCTAAGGAATGATGCTATTGCCTCCATGATAAACAGGAATAGAGGGGCTGCTAATGAGTCTCCTTGCCTTACAGACCTAAACATCTTGTAGAGGTCGGATATGTGTCCATTTGCTTGAACTGCTCTGTGTGCGTCATTGCATAGAATCCTAACCCATTTTTTGAAGTTCGGGCCTACTCCCATCTTTCCCATGCATTGCTGGAGGAAATCCCAGTTGACCTGGTCGTATGCTTTCTCAAAGTCGAAGAAGAGAATTGTTGCGTTTAGTTTCTTATCTTTACTATATCTTACTGATTCAGCTAGTGTCATTACATTGTCTAGTATAAATTTGCCCGGGATGAATCCTGTTTGGTCTATGTGGAAGCAGTTTCTGGTGATCTTCCTTATTCTGTTTGCTAGAAGCTTGGCTAGGATTTTATATGCTACTGTTAGTAACTTTATACGCCGATAGTTTTTAATATCTGTGGGGTCTCCTTTCTTGTATAGTAGGGTGGCTATTCCCATACTGAGATGCTTTCCTAATCCTTCCGAAGCCCATACTGTTCTTATAAACCTGCAATACTCATCCCCTAAGAGTTCGCAGTATCTTTGCCAAAATTGTTTGGACAGTCCGTCTTGTCCCGGTGTCTTTCTTGATTTCATTGAGTCCAAGGCTCTTTTAATTTCATCATTTGTGATGGGTGCTTCTAGTTCCTCTGCTAGTGTTGTGGGGATTCACTGGCCAAGTGTTTACATAATTTTTCTCTTGCTTGTGTCACTTGTCTCAGAGTGGGTTAGAGGTGTAGAGGTTTTTATAAAAGGATTCCGCTATTGCGAGCATTTTCCTTGGATCTGAAGTGAGGCCTTCCTCTCCTCGAAGTTGGTGGATGGCGGAGTTTCTTCCTGTTGCTCCGATTTTTTGGGAAAAATACTTTGTCATTTTTTCCCCTTCCTCCCACTCTTTGACCCTTGGTCTTAGTCTCATTCCCTTGGCTTTCCATGAATTCCAGGTGCCCAATTCTGCTCTTGCTTTGGCAAGTGAGTCTTCATATGAAGTTTGGCCTGCTTCTAGCTTTTGTATGCACTGGTTTCTTTTGGCTGCCAGTCTCCTAGAAGTTGTGGAGGCCGCTTTGGATAAGTTGGCTATTATGCTTGGGAAGTTAGCTCCTTCCTTTTTTGAGGCTATGCATGCGAGGGCTATTG